GCAGAGCAACTCTGCCTCGGGCTTCCTGTAGTCAGCCGCTGGTCAGTTTCAGCAGCGGCTGAATCTGGACGCCAGTTCCGACTTACATACAGATTCAGCTTAAGAGCAAACCTACAATCCCTATCTTGTACGTAACCCGGGGACTGCCTGTACTGAATGGACTTGTAGGCTCTGAAGTTTTACATTGTTTTTGTTATATAACTACATTAAAAAACAAAACAATCTATTTGTAAATTGCACTTTCATGATAGAGGTTGCATTACAGTACTTGTATGAAGTGAATTGATTAATACAGGATGAGCCTCCCAAATCTGGGACTTTCTGGTCCGGCAACATCCATTGTTCGGCAGGGCCATGGACATTGCTGGATCAAGTAGCTCCGGAGGCTAGGAGCAGGAGCCAGTTGTGACAGAGCTGCAGCAGCTGGGCCTGGTGGAGGACCCCAGGCAAGCTAGGGAACCCCCAGCATCAGCAAGTTTTGAAGGGTGGGAGGTGGGGAGCCTCACCCCTGCTGGGGAACCCTCCAGAATCAGTGGGTCCAGGCGGTGAACAGAGGCCAGGTGGGGGTTGGGTGCTCCCAGACTGGGGAACTCCAGGAAACTATCAATGGTAATGGGAACAGGTGGTCCAGGAGCCCCGGCTGGGGAATCTGGGGATTCCCGGTAACAGCGAGGCTGGGGTGGTTGGATGGCCCCGGCAGGGGAACCTCTGGCAGAAGTAGGACCCAGCGGTGGCAGGGAAGCATTGGCCAGGGAGGCCTGAGAGCCCCAGTGGCAGTGGGGCTAGCAGTGGCCAGGTGGTCTCAGCTGGAATACTGGGGAACTCTAGTGGCAGCAAGCAGGCAGCAGGATGGGAGCTCCAGCCTTGGGAGCTCCAAGGAGAGGAGCCTGGGAGTGGGGCAGCCAGAAGGGGAACATTGACTTCCTCTGGTTTGGCAAACTCCCTGGTTCAGGACCCCGAAGGTGCTGGTCAGGGAGGTCCAACCTGTACTATTTCCTTTGTTTATCATTTTTATAGTGCAAATAGTTATCATAAAAATAAAGTGAGAACTGTACATTTTGTTTTCTGTGTTTTAGTAGAAATCAATATATTTGAAAATATTAAAAAATCTGAAATATTTAATACATTTCAGTTGGTTTTCTATTATTATTTAACAGTGTGATTAAAACTACAATTAATCATTAATTTTGAGTTAATCATGTGAGTTAACTGTGATTGACAGCCCTAATTTGTGGATCTCCATAAAGACTTTGAAAACAGACACACATATCAGATTTATAGAGTAAAATGATGCACTTTTTACAGTTATATTACTTAAAGCAATTGTCATTTAAAATCATATTTTGAAAAATGCAGTCTAATTTATTTCCATCATATGGGTATCTCAGTACATTTTTGTACGATCAGCATCAGTACTCTAGATCAAAATTCCTTGGAACAGGGACTGTGGGTGAAATTTTCGAAACTGCATAAAAGCCTCAGATTCACAAAGGTAATTAGATACCTAAGTTCCATTTTTAGGCATCACTGTGGACCACAAAACTTCCATTTGACTACTGCTTAACATTGTAGGGATAACTTTACTTTTCACTCAAACATCTGTAAAAGTTCCTTAAGCACCTATGTTTCAGTCTCTAAGCATGGGCCCTGCCCCCTCTAGGTGTCTTCCTCCTTTGTCTTGCCTGGTTCCTATTAGGGTTGCCAACTCTCCCGAACAGACAGACTGGACACCATTTGTGGCAATGGTATCTGGTCCATCCTCTCTGGGATAGTTGGCAACCCTAGCCCCTATATGATCTATTAAGTAAGAGATGATAGGTGGAGGAATTCCTGCATTGCCTGTTGGGCCTAACCCGGTAAGCAAGCTCAGAGGCTGCCTAGCTCTGCAAAGCAAACAATAGGGCATGGGTGGCCAACCCATTCTGGGCAAAGAGCCAAGATAACAGTGGATCCAGCGTGAAGAGCCGACGCAAAGTTGTTGAGGGGGAAAAAAAAAAAAAAGGAATGCCTCTTTAAAAGGAGCCCCTGGTTGCATTTGGTCGAGCCCCCCCCCCCCCCAACCCACCCAAAAGGCTCTGCCCCTTTAAAAAACCACAGTTAAACGCATTTTGAGGCTTTTTGGCCACAGCAGGTTCCTGCCGCCATCTTTACTTCTGCAGCTTTCATGTCCATTCTGGACTGCTTTCCTGCCCAAGTCAGCACAGGCAGCTGGGAGGAGAGGGCTGTTTTTGAGGGCGTGGGGGCAGCTTTCAAGCCACGGGGGGCACTTCACGAGCTGCACCCGGGGGAAGGGAAGAGCTGCATGTGGCTCGCAAGCCTCGGGTTGGCCACCCCTTCAATAGAGAGAAGAATGACCTTCCCTTATGACCTTTAGCTTGGTGGTTACTGGATTTCCTCAAGATATAGTTCTCCAGTTCAGTTCACTCCACAGAGGAGAAGAGATTTGAACAAAGATCTCCCAACCCTCAGATGAATGCCTTATGCACTGAAGAATAGTGATAGAAATGTAGCCGTGTTAGTCTGGGGTAGCTGAAGCAAAATGCAGGACAATGTATCACTGTAAAGACTAACAAGATGGTTTATTAGATGATGAGCTTTCGTGGGCCAGACCCACTTCCTCAGATCAAATAGTGGAAGAAAATAGTCACAGCCATATATACCAAAGGATACAATTTAAAAAAATGAACACATATGAAAAGGACAAATCACATTTCAGAACAGAAGGGGGATGCATCACATTTCAGAACAGGAGGGGGATACAGGGGGAGGGGGAAGGAAGGAAGGTAAGTGTCTGTGAATTGATGATATTAGAGGTGGGGAGAATGGGATGTCTGTGAGCTAATGGTATTAGAGGTGATAATTGGGGAAGCTATCCTGGTAATGGGTAAGATAGTTTGAGTATTTGTTCATTCCTTCCCGGAGAGTGTTGAATTTTAACATGAATGACAGTTCAGAGGATTCCCTTTCAAGTGCAGATGTAAAAGGTCTTTGACTTAACCACCTGCATTCTGCTACAAAGACCTTTTACATCTGCACTTGAAAGGGAATCCTCTGAACTGTCATTCATGTTAAAATTCAACACTCTCCGGGAAGGAATGAACAAATACTCAAACTATCTTACCCATTACCAGGATAGCTTCCCCAATTATCACCTCTAATACCATTAGCTCACACACATCCCTTTTTCCCCACCTCTAATATCATCAATTCACAGACACTTACCTTCCTTCCTTCCCCCTCCCCCTGTATCCCCCTCCTGTTCTGAAATGTGATTTGTCCTTTTCATATGTGTTCATTTTTTTAAATTGTATCCTTTGGTATATATGGTTGTGACTATTTCCTTCCACTATTTGATCTGAGGAAGTGGGTCTGGCCCACAAAAGCTCATCATCTAATAAACCATCTTGTTAGTCTTTAAAGTGCTACATTGTCCTGCATTTTGCTTATGCACTGAAGTATGGGATAGTCTGTTGCAGGCCTCTCTTAAATAATTGAATAATTAAATATTAATTGGGCCAGAGAGGGTGACAACTACTTTACATACGCCATTGCTGAATAATAAAGGTTGTAAAGGAGGCTCTACTCTCGCCCCTGCCGCCATCTGTTTTGTGTGGAGTTAAATGCTTGCCTAATTCTGTCTTGCAAGAAGTGACGTAGATGCTTAAACAATCTGATTCTATGAAAGGGCTTCCTAGATATGAATCACAAGACAAGATAGGTGTCTTCTTCAGTCCAGATTGAGTCCTCAAAATCCAAAAGGGGTGGGGCTTGGAACTCATCCCTCTCCTTGGAATCCCCCAAGGTACATCTAAACTACATCCCGTTTTCGATAAAGGGGTGTAAATTAGACATATTGAAATTATAAATGAAGCCGGGATTTGAATTTCCTGCGCTTCATTTACATAATGGTGGCCGTGGCTTTTTTTTTTTTTCAAAAAGCCACTTTTCAGAAGAAACCCTGTGGTCAAGATGGGGATCGTTTGACAGAAATAGCCCATTTTGAAAAATCCTGTATTACAGGAAAGCTTACAGGATCTTTCGAAACGGGGCATTTCTGTCTAACGATCCCTGTCTTGACCGCTTTTTTTTTTTTTCTGAAAAGTGACTTTTTGAAAAAAAAGCCATGGCCGCCATTATGTAAATGAAGCGTGGGAAATTCAAATCCCGGCTTCATTTATAATTTCGATATGTCTAATTTACATCCCTTTATCGAAAAAGGATTGTAGTTTAGATGTACCCCCATGGACTAACTTCAGTGGGTCCCTCCTCCCCCATGTGCTGTTTTTTTTTTTCCCTGGGTTGCATTCTGAGGCACATGTGAAACATCAATGTTTCTTAAACTGTGTTCCGGGGAACACCAGTGTTCTGCGAGGCAGCCGAAGGTGTGCTGCGGAGAACAACAGAGTTCAAAATGGCTACTTTTTTTTTTTTTTTTTGGATCAACAAAAAATCCTTGGTGTTCCTCATTTAAAAAAAAATTGTTTGGTGTTCCTCGGTCTTAACGTTTAAGAAACACTGCCATGCATTCATTGTACAGGCAGTCCCCGGGTTACATGGATCCGACTTACATTGGATCCCTACTTACAAACGGGGTGAGGCAACCCCGCACTGGCTGCTTCCCCCCAGCAGACCAGAGAGACGCGAAGCTAGCGCCCCCCTCCCCTCCCAGCAGACCAGGGAGATGTGGAGTGGCTTTTCTCAGCAGACACCTCAGCTTGAGAATAAAGGACTGAGGGAAGTGAGGTGTGGGAGAATAAAACTGAGCTCTGGAGAAATGTTTGGCTAGAGTTTCCCCTACAATATGTACCAGTTCCGACTTACATACAAATTCAACTTAAGAACAAACCTACAGTCCCTATCGTGTACGTAATCCGGGGACTGCCTGTATAGGGAGCCTAGGTGCTTGATTCAGGTTTAGTGGATCACATTATTTTACCAGTGATTTTTTTCCCTAGGTGCTTAAAAGCTAGGCATTGGGGCACTCAGCATTGCAACAATTAAGCTCCTTTGTTGATCCAGGCCTACAGATGATGGAAGTAGGGGGTGCTTGAGGTTGTTTCCATTATATACATGGCTTACAATTTGGCTCAATTGCGCTCAACACCCCCACTATAAAAATTGTTCTAGCACCGCTGTCCAGACCTAAGTAATTTAGGAGTAAAAGTCCCTTTGAAAATAATTTACTTACTTACAAATACTTACCCTTTTCTCTGCAAGTTGCAATTCATATTTAAATAGCTGTTTGTTGAACAGCAGTTAATATTAATTTAGTTTAAAAAGAGTGTGCTACTTGGATTGAGTTCAAATTTGAGAGAAATCTATTTTGTAGTTTGAGAGTTCATTTTAAAATAAGTATGTTAGTCACATTATTTGTTTGTTAAAGCGTCAAATCCCAATCCCTGTCAGTGGGATTTTGCTCCTAATCCATTTAGGTACTTGAAAAAAATCTTACCCTATTCCTGTTTATATTAAGTACTGGTGCAGTTCTGAAACACCTGCTTGGTACTTAACAAATAAGCTGGCTTGTATATTTATTTTGAAATGAATTCTCAAACTGTTAGGCTGATTTCTCTCAGATATGAACTCAATCCAAGTAGCTGGCCAGCATATTGCTATTTAAATGTGAACTGTAGCTAGAGGAGTAATGGTTATGTATACATATTTGTAAGTCATGTCTGCAATTTACATTGCTTTCATTATTGTTAAATCATTCTTCTGTTATACAGCAGAGTCTAGAGAGCAGTTTAAGCGCATTTTACAAGTTAAGTACATTTTAGGAAAAGGAAATAAGTCTTTCAAATTGTGCTTTTTCAAATGGAAAATAAATAAGGGAAATTGGCTTTGGTTTCTCTTCAAGCCTCTGGATCCTGATAAGAGTCTGAGCTTGGAGAGCAGGTGCAGCTAATAAATAGTGCCCTTATGGGGCACCTGGCATTGGTCACTGTCTGAAGGCAGGATACTGGGCTAGATGAACCAGTATTTTACTCTAATACTTACCTGGCATTGCCTGTGTCCTTCAAGTAGGGGACTGACAATGTGGGGGGTGCAGAAGTCAGGGCAGGGCCTTGGTGGATGTGGGGAACTCATGGCAGGTGGCCTGGGGCATGAGAGTGTGAGAGTAAGGGTTAGAGGTTGATACGGGCTCAGGGCAAGGGGCAGAGGGTGAGGAGGTCTCAGAGTAGGTGGTGGGGGTGGCCACTGGCTTCTCCCGGGGGATGGCCCAGGACAGTGGCAACTGTGCATCCTGCCTGCCAGCTTGTCCCTGGGTGCCATCAGGGCATATCTGTTCGCTAGCCCAATCTGGGTTGGGGGAGTTTTTCCCGTCCCCCCAGGTCCCTCTGGTGGTGGTGGGGGGGTTGTCTCCCTCAAGCCTTTCCTGGGGGGGGCGGGGGGACAGCAGGGCAAAGGGAGGGCCTAGTGACCTTTTCTGGTGGCAGGCAAAGTAGCAGAGTTCAGCCCTACTAGCCACTCACTTGGTAGTGTCGCTGCTCGCAGTGGACACTCTTCAAGATAGCTCTCCCCTGCAGGCTTGCTGCCCCCAGTGTCCACTCTCAGATAACTTCCCTTTTCCAATGTTTCTGATCTCCTGGCACAACCAAATCCTGACCTTGGTTCAAGTTATAGTAAGAAGGAGCTACATACAAAATGTTGTGGCCCTAACTTTTACCAATTAGGGGGAATTCTTAAACAAAAGGAGTCACAGACAGACACACTCTAAAATAGATATAAAGATATGAAATGTAGATAGAGGATGGTCCACATATTGCAATACTTTCTTCAGAGAGTAGTTTTATTAAAGTCAGTGGGATTGATGACATGTATTTGGATTGCAAGATTAGATTCCAAATGTACAAGTTGATGTATTTTCTTATTACAATTATAAAAGCTGTTTGTATTGTATTTTTGTTTAGATGAAGCTAAATTAAAAGGACTTGCAGCTCCTAGCAATCTTTCAATGAATCAAACTCTTGAAGGTCACAGCGGTAAGAGTTACATTATGCTACTCTGTCATCTTGTGCTTAATATTAAAACATCTAAAGGTTGGAGTAAAAATGCAGCTGTTAATACTCTATTGTGAAATTGATAAAATAATTTTATTGTTGTGCCATTTTCCATTAGATGACTGGAACAAAGATTTTCAATATAAATATCAATCATGTAACATCTTGTCCATCTATTACAAATTAATCCAAGGAAAAAAGTATTTAAATGGGCTTGAACTGCTGCTCACAAACAGGGAGGAACTAGTTGGGGAAGTAGAGGTGGGTGACAGCCAGGGAAGGAGTGATCATGAGATGGTAGATTTCAGGATCCTGACCAAAGGAAGAAAGGAGAATAGCAAAATACACACCCTGGACTTCAGAAGAGCAGACTTTGACTCCCTCAGAGAACTGATGGGCAGGATTCCCTAGGATGCTTTCATGAAGGGGAAAGGAGTCCAGGAGAGCCGACAGTGTTTTAAAGAAGCCTTATTAAAGACACAGGAAGAAACCATCCCAATGCACAGAAAGAAAAGCAAATATGATAGGCAACCAGATTGGCTTACCGGGGACATCCTTGGTGAGCTTAAAAACAAAAAGGAAGCTTACAAGAAGTGGACACTTGGACAGATGACTAGGGAGGAATATAAATATATTGCTTGAGAATGCAGGGGAGTTATCAGGACAGCGAAAGCACAGTTGGAATTGCAGCTAGCAAGGGATGTGAAGGGTAACAAGAAAGGTTTCTACAGGCATGTTAGCAATAAGAGGGTGATCAGAGAGAGTGTGGGGCCATTACTGGATGAGGGAGGAAACCTAGTGACAGATTATGTGGGAAAAACTGAAGTACTCAATGCTTTCTTTGCCTCTGTCTTCATGGACAAGGTCAGCTCCCAGACAAATGCCCTAGGCCAGGGGCGTCCAAACTTTTTTCAAAGAGGGCCAGATTTGATGAAGTGAACAAGCGTGAGGGCCGACCATTTTGCCTGACATTCTTTGAACCATTAAAATTAAATGCAAATTAACTATTTTATGCAAAGTTTATTGCAAACGGCATACTTTTCATTTCGTCACATGGATGACAAATCTAAACAGGTGTTAAATCACTCTGCCTTTCATATCTGAAGGCCAGATGAAAAAAAAAATCCAGGAAGCTGAAATATATGTCAGGAACATTGTAAAGTACATTACATATTATTGGTAATAAAGGTTGTCTGTCAACTTTTAAGTTCAAAAAATATGAACAGGAACATAACACCAAGTATACATGTTGTGTCCAAATATATTTATAACTGATTTAGACCAACTGACTTTAACTGAGATTTTACAATGTATTCATCTCAATACATATGGATTCATTGGGGGCCATAAAAGATAGATATTGCCAAATTACCCGTGGGGCCGTATTAAACCGGAACACGGGCCGCAATTGGCTCGCGGGCCGGACTTTGGACATGCCTGCACTAGGCAGTGCGATATGGAAAGGAGGTGGACAGCCCTTGGTGGGGAAAGAACAAGTTAGGAACTATTTAGAAAAGCTAAACATACACAAATCCATGGCTGAAGTACTCAATGCTTTCTTTGCCTCTGTCTTCACGGACAAGGTCAGCTCCCAGACAAATGCACTAGGCAGTGCGATATGGAAAGGAGGTGGACAGCCCTTGGTGGGGAAAGAACAAGTTAGGAACTATTTAGAAAAGCTAAACATACACAAATCCATGGGCCCGGATTTAATGCATCCGAGGGTACTGAGGGAGTTGGCAAATATAATGGCCAAAGGCTCCACAATGACCTTTGAAAACTCGTGGAGATTGGGAGAGATCCCGGATGACTGGAAAAAGGCAAATGTAGTGCCTATCTTTAAATAAGGGAAGAAGGACAATCCAGGGAACTACAGACCAGCCACCCTTACCTCAGTCCCCGGAAAAATCCTGGAGGGGATCCTCAAGGAATCCATTTTGAAGCACTTGGAAGAGGGGAAAGTGATCAGGAATAGTCACCATGGATTCACCAAGGGCAAGTTGTACCTGACCAATCTGATTAGCTTCTATGATGAGGTAACTGGCTCTCTGGATATGAGGAAGTCAGTAGATGTGATATACCTTGACTAGAGCAAGCTTTTGATACGGTCTCCCACAATATTCTTGTCAGCACATTAAGGGAGTATGGATTGGATAAATGGACTGTAAGATGGATAGAGAGCTGGCTAGACTGTCAGGCCCAAACAGTAGTGATCAATGGCTCAATGTCAGGTTGGTGGTCGGTTTCTAGCGGAGTGCACCAAGGATCTGTTCTAGGACCGGTTTTGTTCAACATCTTTATTAATGACCCAATTGAGGGGATGAATTGCACCCTCAGCAAGTTCACAGTTGACACTAAGCTAGGAGGAGAGGTAGATATGCTGGAGGGTAGGGATAGGGTCCAGAGTGACCGGACAGATTAGAGGATTGGGCCAAAAGAAATCTGATGAGCTTCAAAAAGGACAAGTGTAGAGTCCTGCACTTGGGACAGAAGAATCCCAAGCATTGTTACAGGCTGGGGACCAAATGGCTAAGGTGCAGTTCTGCAGAAAAGGACCTGAGGATTACAGTGGATGAAAAGCTGGATATGAGTCAGTGTGCCCCTGTAGCCAAGAGGGCTAATGGCATAATAGGGTGCCATAGGGGGAGCATTGCCAGCAGATCTAGAGAAGTAGTTATTCCCCTTTATTCGGCTCTGGTGAGGCCATATCTGAAGTTCTGGGCCCTCCACTATAGAAAGGATGTGGACGCATTGGAGAGGGTACAGCGGAGGGCGACCAAAATGATAAGGGGGCTGGAGTGCATGACCTATGAGGAGAGACTGAGGGATTTGGGTTTGTTTAGTCTGCAGAAGAGTAAGGGAGGATTTGATAGCAGCCTTCAGCTTCCTGAAGGGAGTTGCCAAATAGGATGGAGAGAGGCTGTTCACAGTAGTGACTGATGGCAGAACAAGGAACAATGGTCTCAAGTTACAGAGGGGGAGGTCCAGGTTGGATATTAGGAAAAACTATTTCACTGGGAGGGTGGTGGAGCACTGGAATGGGTTACCTAGGGAGGTGGTGGAATCTCTATTCTTAGAGGTTTTTAAGTCTCGGCTTGAAAAGCCCTTGCTGGGTTGATTTAGTTGGGATTGGTCCTGCCTTGGGCAGGGGGCTGGACTTGATGACCTCCTGAGGTCTCTTCCAGCTCTATGATTCTATCACCTGGCATGGCAGTTTTAATTGAACATATATGTACATCGTATAAATAGAGTTTGTAGTTGTTGTAGGGTAGGACTAAAGAAGGGTAGAATGGCAACTTTTCAGTACCAAGAAAATGGGCATAAGGAAATTGGAAGCACTTTGAATTGTTCCATTAGATAGAAAGAGTCATGGAAGGTGAAATTTGAAGAATCAAGGAGTTCACTATGTACACTTAAGAGAAAGAGAAGTTATTGTAGGTTAAGATGACATCAGAGAACAGTCCTTTGCTTATTTTGAATATTCTGAAATGAGGCTTGTTGGATCTTTGGCATTTGAGTGTCATATTTGAATGTGATGGAAAAGGTCAATTGTGGGAGAGATTATACCGAGATTTCCATCAGTCTTAGATGGATGATTATATTCAATCCTGAAATAGACAGGAAGTTGGTATGCTGTGTTAGCTATCTTGGTCCCAAGGTATTAGATATTGGCAGATATTTCTGAGGGATGAGTGTGACCTGGATCTAGGTGAGAAGATTAGTAACCACTGCTTCTTAAATTCAAAGTTTGCAAAGTTGGGAAGGAGGACATAAAGAAGGGAATGTTGTTAGTCAAGCTAAGAAGAAACGAAGGCATAACAGAGTTTGAGTGATCTTGTCAGTTTCTAATATGAGTTTAGTATCATAGTTTCATAGAGCTAGGAAATTTGGGAAGTAAATCAAGTTATGAGGTTGATCATGGACCAATATTTTCGATATAAGCAATTGTGAGATTTGGATCTAGAGTAGTGGTGTGCAGGATGTGCCATGTAATAAGGAAGGATTTTCAAGGCCTTAGGCCAGGTGTCGGCAACCTTTCTGAAGTGGTATGCCAAGATTTAACCCTTTAGCTCTGGGCCACGCTGCTCTTCTGGGATGGGAGGAGGGGCTCTCTCCACCTCCTGCCCTACTTGATCTCCTGCCCTGGGCTTTGCTCCGGCTTTTCCTGGTATACTTTCACAGTTTCACTTTTTTTTTTTTACATCGTGATTAATATTAAAATAAAATAAGTAAAAATAAAAAGAGGAAACCCAAAATAAATCCCTTTGTCAATAATAAAGAACTAAAACAATAAAATTTAAAAATTATACAAAATACAAAAAACAATACTTACTTAAAACCTTTAAAAGCTCAAAAAAAGGTTTAAAGAAAAAAACCAACCTAGCATGCGCACACACAAATCAATATAAAACAATAAAGCCCAACTATTAAACTCCTATTCAAGATAGGGATGTAAGTGGTCAACATCACCTTTACTGGGTGATGCTTATTGCTTACCGTCAGTGGGCTGCTCCAGCTCTATGGGGCCTGGAGTGCCACAGGCAGGGATGCTCCAGCCTGGCAAGATCAGTCTCCACCTCAGCAGGGACTGCTGGGTCTGCTGCTGCCCGACACGTAGCCTCCACCTTTGGTCCCAACTGGGACCACCAGAGCAGCTGCCGCCCAACATGCAACCTGCATATGGGGTAGGAGGACTGAGTTCCTACCGCATGCCACTTATGGCATGCATGCCATAGGTTGCTGTCCCCTGCCTTAGGCCTTAACTGCCACTTACACCTTTGAAAATCTTCCCATGGTCAAATTTTAATTATTAGGTTTGTTGGCCTAAAGAAAGATATTATGACCCATGAGTTGATGAGGGTATGGCAGGCAGAAACAGAAAAAGAACAAAAACTATGTAAGGATACAGACTTGGGTTTTATCCTCACAGAAGTAATATGAAAGGTTGAATTTGGAGAGACTAAGGGAGCAGAATAGCTGAAGAGGTGGGTGCACTTCATTAGAGGTCTGTGGAAAGGAGAGCATATATTGCCAGTCACAGAAAAGAATGGCTAAAACAGCAGAATCAAAATTAGTAGCGACAGGAGATTCTGTTAAAAGGGTGGTTAAAGTTTTTAAAAGGATGTAATCTTTACTACAGTATCTTAGATCATTTCCTGATTAGTATAAAAAGTGAATTTTATATAATTTTCCAGGTTCTGTACAAGTGGTGACCTGGAATGAACAGTATCAAAAGCTAACTACCAGTGATCAAAATGGACTTATCATTGTATGGATGTTGTATAAAGGTATTGTATGGGTATGGTGACCATGTTTTCTGAACCAAGATTAGAGACACGTTAGCCACGCCCCCAAGCCTACATTAGCCCCCCTCCCCCTCCACAAGAAGTACCACTTCCGAGGTCAAGATGGACACATGACCAGAAGCAAAGGGTGTCATGACCCCTCTAAGAACTCCCCGTACTGTCCACCTATGACTAGGGATATGTTTGGCCCCTGCAAGTCCCCCATGCAACTATCCTGCAATTGCATTAACCCAATTTTCATTGGATTAACTTGGTGGGGAGAGGCTGGGAAAAGTGTTCTAATATTTTCCTTCTATGAGTGGAGTGAATTTTGTCGTGTGCACCAGTATTGAGTTGCTATGTGTTTATTCAGATGTGTGCCACTGTGGCACTCAAGTTATTAATAAATATCTTATTAACCTCTCCTTTCCCTTTGCTGCCATGTTTCCTACCCTTCACTTGCCCCATCTGCTCCCCTGATGCCTGCTGCCCCTCACCCTCCTCGGCTGTCCTGGCTCCTGCCTTTATCATTCCGCTCAGCCCTTTGGGGACCTGCCCCCCTCCCCTGTACCAGCCCTTCTCTTCCTTCTGTGCCCACTCTTCCTCTAGCCCCACTCTGATCATCTATAGCTACCCCTCTCCTTTCCCTCTCCTAACACCTCCCTCATCCACCTGCCCTGCCTCTCTCCACTGTCTTTTGGTGCCTTCCCCTTCCCTCCCTGTGTCTGCCCCTCTGCTTCATCCCCACAATCTCTTAGCACCTGCACCTTCCCTTACCCCTGCACCTTCCTGGTGCCTCCCCCTTCCCTCACTGCCCCACCCTCTTTCTCCCTGGTGCCCACCTGAGGCCTCTTCCACAAGTGGCATTTACTTATCAGATAGTCGACTAGTCCTTCACATTCCTACTTTAATTGTGGGTTACAAAGCTCAAATAGGTTTAAAGTGTATTTCAAGGTTTTTTTTAAACAAACTTTGAATAACTTTAGTTGTGCACAATTTCCATAGTATAATCCTTTATAAAGAATGAAATAATCTTTCCAGAACTGTCTTAGGAAAGATGACCGTTTTCAAGCATACACTTTGTTCAACAGCAAAGAATAGAAAGCTTTGCTCAATAGTCCAGCAGAAATGTTCATATTTGCAGAAATCCTGTTGAACTATATACATAATATACAATAGAGGGGCTTAGGTTAGTCTTAGATTTAGGTATTAATATTGAAAAATTAATTGTGCTATAATGGTAATTGCAGAAAAAAACACACACTAGTGGAGGTATTAGATCTTAGAAACCTGGCCTAGAGCAAGAAACTGTAGAGTAAATTTTTCTACTGAATCTAGAATTATTCCATGAATTGATTACTTTGTCATAACTAAGGGTGTGTCTAGACTACAGGGTTTTGTCGACAAAAGTGGACTTTTGTCAACAAAACTAAACCTTCATCCACACTGCCTTTGAGTTATGTCGACATAACTCATCGACAAAACTCAGCAGTTTTGTCGACATATGTAAACCTCATTCTGCGAGGAATAACTCCTTTGTCAACGTAGTTCTGTCGACAAAACAGCAGTGTGGACGCAGGGGAAGAGTTATGTCGACATAAAAGGCCTCCAGGGAGAACCCCTGGTGGACACTGCTGCCACAGCTTGCAACTCTGTTGTTCCTGCCCGTAGCCATCTTTAAAAGGCACAGGTACCCAGGAGCAGCACTCTGGCAGCAAGCAAGCTCCAGAGCAGACAGGACTGTGCTGCTCAGTTCTGAGTGAGCCATGTCACAGGGACAAGCCCCCCAAAACCCCTCTGTCCCTTCCAGGGAATCATTCCCCTGGGAACCCCGGGGCACCAAGTGCCAGGCACCCTCCTGGTCAGGGCCGGAGATAAAAGCCCTCCTGGGCATCTGGGCTGAGGAGAACTCCTTCCAGGCCATGCACTCCACAAAGAGGCGGAACGCAGACACTTTTGCCCGAATGGCAGAAGAGCTGGCCAAACAAGGCCACCATCCCCGCACACTGGAGCAGGTCAGAGCCAAAGTGAAGGAGCTGAGGCAGGGGTATGTCCAGGCCCTTGAGCACAGCTCCCGCTCCGGGGAAAGGCCGCACTCCTGTGAGTACTATGAGGACCTGGACAGGATCCTGGGGGCAAGGGATCCTCTGCCTCCTGAGAGGCTCATGGAGTCCGGGCTGGAGACCCTGGTTCTACAGTGTCCGGAACACCTGCTGAGGGACCAGGAGCTCCAGGAGGAGGAAGAAGAGGAGAAGGACGGCAATCAGAGCACACAGGAGCCAAGCATTCAGACGCAGGAGGCCTCCCAGACCACCTCAGACACTGGGGAAGGAACATCAGGTGAGTGCTGTGAGGGTCTGTCGGGGTTCACCCCTCACACTCGGGGTTGCCACCCTCATCCAGGGCATCATCCAGCCCGCTTGAGCCTCAGCCCGAAGCGTGATGCCCATTTTTTAGGGGAAAGATGGCCCACTGGCCTATTCTTAATGTCCACTGCCCCTGCAGTAGGGGAAATATGGCCTCACGGCCTAGTCCTCAACACACAGGCCCGGAGGCCTAATCCCAAAGTTCTTTATCCCAGGTTTCAGGCAGCAGAGGTAGGGGGGCCCAGGCCCTCCCTCTCCACTGGGCCCCGACCCAGGGCCCTATTAGTGGCAGGCAGCTCCCACCAGTGGCTCAGCAGGGGCTCCTCCCCGCAACGCACCGAGCCCTGAGGGGCTTTTCCAGCTCCCTGCTCTGGGTCGCTTCCTACCTCCTGCCCCCAGCCCGTAGCGGTCCCACCTGTTGGCGTTCGTCAGGTGGCTGTACTGGCCCTTCCCCAGTCAACTTCAGGGTTGGCAGTGTCCGGTCCGGTGCCTGGGTCACGGGGGGTCGGTCGGCGGCTCTGGCGTTGGGGGCGAGCCCGGCTTGGGCCTGGCAGCGGTGCATTCAGTAGTCCTGTCGACTCCCTCTCTAGCAGTTGGTCACTAGCTCCCGCTCAGGCCACAATCCGCCCCTTCTGAGCAGGCCAGAAGCCTTTTTTTACTTGTGCTCCCCTCGGAGCATGCCCAGTAGGGCTGTGTGGGTGGGGCTCTCTCCGCCCCCGGCACCAGGTGGTTTCCCTGGGCTTGAGTGCGGGGCGGAGTGCCCTGTCACAGGGTCCAACACACGCAAGGCAGTGCAGGGCAGGCAGGAGCAAAGGGGACAGTGCAGTGCTGTGACATGTCATGTTTAGTACGGCCCGGGGGGACAGAGGGGGCACACCCATGGCTGCCCCCAGGGAGGGCCGTGCAACCCCCCTGCACCCACATGGCTGCTAGGCACTGCTTGTTTCTGCAGGCAGGGATGCCACATGCAGGCATGGGCCGGAGACGCTGGGATTGCCTCACAGCTGCAAGGCTCTCAGCACTCTGTGGGAACCCCAACCGTGGCCCAACACTCATCCGTGCTGCTCAGCCATGGGGGATGCGTGAGAGGGGGCACGACGGTGGCCTGCACACTGCCTGGGCTCCTGGGAGGTCGTGGCTGAGGGCCAGGCCACACCATGCCTTACTGAGACACACATGAGCAGCCTCTGACCCTAGCACAGGCACTGCCTGATGAGAAGAAGGAGGGCATGCCCTCTCAGGGAAAGGGTGAGCATGCATGACTGACGACTTTTCCCTCTTGGCCTCCGCAGCCAGACCAGCTGACCAGGAGGGGGTGCCCCACCTGCCCCACCACCTAGACAGCCACAGGGCACCCGTAGGCACTGGCGCAGCTACTTAGAGCTGGTGCGCCAGCACATTGGAGTTCTGCAAGAGATGAAGAACTCTATGGAAAGAAGGCTGGAGGCAGAGGCCGAGTGGCGCCGGCAGTTGCTGCTCGAATTTGCCCAGCAGCGCAGGGACATCTGTGTTTCCAGCCGGGAGGCCATGGCCTTTCCTGGTCCTTTGCCTGCTCCTGCCCCTCCTCCTCAGCTCCTGCCCCCTTCCTCTGCCCCTGCCATCCCAGCCCCACCTCTGAATCAAAGAGTTATTTATTTTCATTTGTTAAAAAAACAACAGTTAAATAAAGTGTTCTATAGTTTTCACCATCACCTGTCTCCATTTTCAGTGAGTGGGGACTGAGTAGAATGGGTGAATGTGGGGCTGGGAGGGGTTCAAGAGAGGAAGGGTATGGGGCAATCCCACATGTGGAAGGTCCTTGGGACAATCAGGGGCCTCCCTGTGAGAATTGCTCCCTCAGGGATTCCCGAATGTGCAGTCCCAGCTGGTGGGCTTGCCGGGTGGCAGCTGTCCAGGGCTGCCCAAACTGCCTCCCCTCCATTTCCGTCTGTGTCCTCCACGCAGGGAGGAAGGCCTCCCCTTTCCTCTCTACGAGGTTGTGCAGCACACAGCATGCTGCAACCACATCGTGGATGTTGTGTTCCCCCATGTCCAGCCACCACATCAGGCACCTAAACCTGCCCTTCAGACGGCCAAAGGCACATTCCACCTGGAAGCGAGCCCTATTGAGGTGGGAATTGAACAGTTCCCTGCTCGCGTCCAGATGGCCGGTGTAGGGTTTCATGAGCCAGGCCATGAGAGGGTAGGTTGCATCGGCCACGATGCACGTAGGCATCTGCACGTCCCCGACTGCCAGGTTCCTCTGGGAAGAATGTCCCAGCCTGCGGTACAGGTATGAGTTCCTACACACACAGGCATCGTGTGCCTGGCCTGACCACCTGACACAAACATCAGTGAACTGTCCCCTATGGTCGACCAGAGCCTGCAGCACCATAGAGAAGTAGCCCTTCCTATTGATGTACTGTGCTGCTCGATGGGGCAGGGCATGGATGGGGACATGGGTCCCGTCCAGTGCTCCACTGCAGTTTGGGAACCCCAGCCCCGCAAATCCGGCCAGGATGGTCTGCAGGTCTCCGAGGTGGACAGTCCTGTGGAGCAGCTCCACATTGATGGCCATTACCACCTACAGAATGGGACAAATAGAAACACACAGAACAGGACTTTAGAGAGGTTGGCTCACCTGATGAGAAGTGCTGCCCCCTTTGCCCCCCAGACACCAACAGCTCCCCCCCCCAACAATCCCTTCCCAACCCCCGCACCATAGCAGGGTGAGGCTGAGAGGGCTTCTACCTCTGCCACCCTATCCCCAATTACCTGTGCCTGGTCCTGACTGTCCCCTGAGAGTGACTTCCCTCCATCAAGATGGCCCCGATGGTAGACTTCCCCGCACCAAACTGATGCCCCACGGAGCGGTAGCTGTCGGGGGTGGCCAGCTTCCAGAGCGCAATGGCGATGCGCTTCTCCAGGGGGATGGCAGGCCACAAGTGGGTGTCCTGGTGTTGCAGGACAGGGGCGAGCCAGGTACAGAGCTCCTGGAAGGTGGCCTTCTGCATCCGGAAGTTTCTGAGCCACTGATCGTCGTCCCACTGCTGCAGCACTAGCCGGTCCTACCAGTCCGAACTGGTGTCCGGCCTCCAAAAACCCGCCTCCAGGAAAAAGTTGGGGGGCAAGGGCAGCAGGGCTGCAGCCTGAGCGAGGGGCTCAAAGCTGGGCTCAGGATCCAGCTCTGCTGCCAAGGTCATCATGCTTTCCTGAGCATGAAGCAGAGCTTCCAGCAGCATGGTGTGGGGCCATTGCCTGCCCAGGGGCAGCTCAGGCTCCATGCCCAAAAAAGCCAAAATAACACACAAACAAAAGTAACAAACAAACACAAGAACAAAAATACAAACAAACAAAAAGACAAAAAAGTCAAAACCCAAGAAAACAAACAAACAGAAGAAAACACACAAACAAACAGACAAACCAGATAATACACAGCCCTGGTGTCCGACAGAGCCAGGAAAACTGCAGGGCTGTGTCTAGACTGGCAAGCTGAAACTGTCAAACTTGCTAGCTGTCTACACTGGCCGCTTGAATTTCTGCAAGAACACTGACGATCTCATGTAAGAAATCAGTGCTTCTTGCGGAAATACTATGCTGCTCCCGTTCGGGCAAAAGTCCTTTTGCGCAAAAGCTTTTGCGCAAAAGGGCCAGTGTAGACAGCTCAGATTTGTTTTGCGCAAAAAAGCCTAGATTGGCACGGATGCTTTTCCGCAAAAAGTGCTTTTGTGGAAAAGCGTCCGTGCTAATCTAGACGCTCTTTTCCACAAATGCTTTTAACGGAAAGCTTTTCCGTTAAAAGCATTTGCGGAAAATCATGCCAGTCTAGACGTAGCCCAGCAGTTTTGCTTTCCCTGTAAAGGTTGGCAAGCTAGAAGCAGAAGCAGAGGAACGGCTATCCAGGAGTATCCCTTTAAACACGCGTCTGCAGAGAGCATGCAGCAGTGCCTAGGCTTTATGGCTGCCCCTGTGACCTTTCAGAAGCACTTCTGGGTGCCTTCTTCTGTTGACAGAGCGTCCTGCAGCCTGGACGCTGTTATGTCGACAAAGCGATGTAGTCTGGACGCTCTATGTCGACATAAGTTTTGTCAACAGATACTGTCGACAAAACTTACCGTATATTCCGGCGTACAAGACGACCTCTGATGTTAAAAAACATCCCCCAAAAATCGGGGGTCGTCTTGTACGCCGGATGCCCCGCCGCCGGAGCGGAGCCCCTCCGCGGCTTTGAAAGGCTCGGGGGGAGCCGGGGGGCGGGCGCCCCCGCG